CCCGATCTGTGTCCATCTAAACCCGATCTGTGTCCATCTTAGCCCGATCTGTGTCCATCTAAACCCGATCTGTGTCCATCTTAGCCCGATCTGTGTCCATCTAAACCCGATCTGTGTCCATCTTAACCCGATCTGTGTCCATCTTAGCCCGATCTGTGTCCCTCTGAACCCGATCTGTGTCCATCTAAGCCCGATCTGTGTCCATCTCGATCTGTGTCCATCTAAACCCGATCTGTGTCCATCTAAGCCCGATCTGTGTCCATCTAAGCCCGGTCTGTGTCCATCTAAGCCCGATCTGTGTCCCTCTGAACCCGATCTGTGTTCATCAGAACCCGATCTGTGTCCATCTCGATCTGTGTCCCTCTGAACCCAATCTGTGTCCCTCTAAACCCGATCTGTGTCCATCTAAACCCGATCTGTGTCCATCTGAACCCGATCTGTGTCCATCTAAGCCCAATCTGTGTCCATCTAAGCCCGATCTGTGTCCATCTAAGCCCGATCTGTGTCCCTCTGAACCCGATCTGTGTCCATCTAAACCCGATCTGTGTCCATCTAAACCCGATCTGTGTCCATCTAAGCCCAATCTGTGTCCATCTAAGCCCGATCTGTGTCCCTCTGAACCCAATCTGTGTCCATCTCGATCTGTGTCCATCTAAACCCGATCTGTGTCCATCTGAACCCGATCTGTGTCCATCTAAGCCCGATCTGTGTCCATCTAAGCCCGATCTGTGTCCATCTAAGCCCGATCTGTGTCCCTCTGAACCCGATCTGTGTCCATCTAAACCCGATCTGTGTTCATCAGAACCCGATCTGTGTCCATCTCGATCTGTGTCCCTCTGAACCCAATCTGTGTCCCTCTAAACCCGATCTGTGTCCCTCTAAACCCGATCTGTGTCCCTCTAAACCCGATCTGTGTCCATCTAAACCCGATCTGTGTCCATCTGAACCCGATCTGTGTCCATCTAAGCCCAATCTGTGTCCATCTCGATCTGTGTCCATCTAAACCCGATCTGTGTCAATCTAAGCCCAATCTGTGTCCATCTCGATCTGTGTCCATCTAAGCCCGATCTGTGTCCATCTAAGCCCGATCTGTGTCCATCTAAGCCCGATCTGTGTCCATCTCGATCTGTGTCCCTCTGAACCCGATCTGTGTCCATCTAAGCCCGATCTGTGTCCATCTCGATCTGTGTCCCTCTGAACCCGATCTGTGTCCATCTAAGCCCGATCTGTGTCCATCTCGATCTGTGTCCCTCTGAACCCGATCTGTGTCCATCTAAGCCCGATCTGTGTCCATCTAAGCCCGATCTGTGTCCATCTCGATCTGTGTCCATCTAAGCCCGATCTGTGTCCATCTCGATCTGTGTCCATCTAAACCCGATCTGTGTCCATCTGAACCCGATCTGTGTCCATCTGAACCCGATCTGTGTCCATCTGAACCCGATCTGTGTCCATCAGAACCCGATCTGTGTCCATCTCGATCTGTGTCCCTCTAAACCCGATCTGTGTCCATCTAAGCCCGATCTGTGTCCATCTAAGCCCGATCTGTGTCCATCTAAGCCCGATCTGTGTCCATCTAAGCCCGATCTGTGTCCATCTCGATCTGTGTCCATCTAAGCCCGATCTGTGTCCCTCTGAACCCGATCTGTGTCCATCTAAGCCCGATCTGTGTCCATCTCGATCTGTGTCCCTCTGAACCCGATCTGTGTCCATCTAAGCCCGATCTGTGTCCATCTAAGCCCGATCTGTGTCCATCTAAGCCCGATCTGTGTCCATCTAAGCCCGATCTGTGTCCATCTCGATCTGTGTCCATCTAAACCCGATCTGTGTCCATCTGAACCCGATCTGTGTCCATCTGAACCCGATCTGTGTCCATCTGAACCCGATCTGTGTCCATCAGAACCCGATCTGTGTCCATCTCGATCTGTGTCCCTCTAAACCCGATCTGTGTCCCTCTAAACCCGATCTGTGTCCATCTGAACCCGATCTGTGTCCATCTGAACCCGATCTGTGTCCATCTGAACCCGATCTGTGTCCATCTGAACCCGATCTGTGTCCATCAGAACCCGATCTGTGTCCATCTCGATCTGTGTCCATCTAAACCCGATCTGTGTCCATCTGAACCCGATCTGTGTCCATCTGAACCCGATCTGTGTCCATCAGAACCCGATCTGTGTCCATCTCGATCTGTGTCCATCTAAACCCGATCTGTGTCCATCTAAACCCGATCTGTGTCCATCTGAACCCGATCTGTGTCCATCTGAACCCAATCTCCAAAGATTTCTTTATTTTCTGCTCTGATCAAGTTAATCCTGGCAAAGCGTTCTGCTCTAAGAGTTTTGACTACGAAAGTTACGATTAAGAAAGTTTATTTCTTTAAGTCTTTCTCAGGAAACTGTTTGTGGAGCTGGAGATAGTTTTTATAATCACTGTGATATGAATGGACCATGAAATATATTTATTTTTTAATTGTCCAAGACATGGTTCCAACTGAAACAATTAACCAGATTAATCATGATTGATTATTGAAATAATCGTCGACTAATTTACTAATCGATTAATTAACTGGAGTATAGAGACTGTAAAACCCACCTGTAGCTGACAGAGCAACACTTAGAACAGGAATTATATCAAAGTTGTAAAAACTCATGTTAACATTTAGCATTTATGTCCAAAAATCTTTTCCGTCTGTCAGTCTGTTCTATAATCCAGAACTCCTCCTGGGAAAAGCTTCACCTGGTTTAGTTTAGTGAAACTTCTTCTTTATGGAACCTTTTAGCTATTTGAATATTATTGGATTAATTGGAATAAAAATTGAGCAGATTCATCAATTTGCAAAGTAATTGTTAGTTCCAGCCTTAGTATTTTAGGGGCTCACAGCCCTAAACAGGTTGGAGTCGTAGTTCCGCTCAGCTGCTAAAAAACAGTTTAGCTGCCATGCTGGTCAGAGCGACCTTTGACCCAATAACCCTCAGTTCCTGTAAACCTGACCGTGGCTCCCTCACTGTTTATTAATCAGCCATCCATTCAGTTCTGGTTTTATCGCTCTGTCACTGTTTCCCAGCGGTTGTGGTGAACGCTGCCGTGCGTGTTTGCAGTTCACCAAGACGGTGCTGCATGCTGAAACACGCCGCTCTGTCCTCCGTATGCAGACAGACGGTTTATGACCTGCAGCATTTCTCCATCAGCACCGAGCTCCCTTTTAGCTACGGTCACATGATTACACTAAGTGGGTCACACGCTGTTCACCATCACATGCTCCCAGTTAGACATGAGGTTTACTGTGAAATCTGAAGAAAAGCTGAATATCTGGAAAGAGACTGTTTGGGAGCAGCTGAAGGATTTCTGGAATTCCCTCCGTGTTCCTGACCAACCGACGGCATGCAGCGATGCAGCCGGTGCTGCCTGCTCTGGATGGACTTTATCACAATGGCTCTGAGCCAATCACATGTTTGCACTTCTGAGAGTTTCACAAAGGTTCTAGAAATGCAGACTGCTTTTTATTTATTTAGGTTTTCTTCCTCTTATACCTCTTGGCAGCCATATTAGTTAAAATATATCATTTACACATTTTAAGCCCAAATGTTTGCAGTCTGAAAAAAAACAAACCTTTACTTTATGCACTGTTTTTATATAGTCTTATTTTTTATCTTTAAAGGCATCTTGCTTTAACTCTTTATCCTCTATATAAGCTACTGGAACCAGAATTTCCCTGAAGGAGGAATCCCCAGGGATAAATAAAGCTGAGTCTAAAGGTCTGATTATCCTCCTGCAGTAGTGTGTCGCAGATGTTTATGATTTCTGCCCAATATTGAAGCGTGGACTGCGCTATGTTATTCCATGCCACAACGCCAGAGGGCCTATCGGGAACTAGCTGTGGGTCTAGATACGGCCGAGGTGGTGAGGAAGTGGGGGCAAGTTTGTGCGACAACGGAGGGACATGAGGGCCAAAAAGAGCGGGGATCCAGGTGGGAAAAGGGTCCCAGCATTCTGGCGCTCCTCGCTCTGCTAGCTGCTCCATCTTCACCAATCGTTTTCCACAATGGCGGTCAGACAAACGAAACCAGCCGGTAAGGAACCAAACAGGAAATACGCATAGAGTAGAGAGAATGCAGATCTGACCAATCAGAGGCCTCCTGTCTGCGCTCACCTACAATTGTGGAGAGGTGCAGCAGAGTGTCTGCAGAAGGGGCGGGGCTTATCTGCGTTAACTGCGCCACACGCAGACGACCTGGTTTCTGAGGATAAATCAGCCTTAGGCGTATATCTGTGGGGAGCTACGGTTTCAGACGGTCATTGAAGCTCACGTTTCCCACCGCGGTTCTTTGAAAATGGCCGAGGGTTGGAAGAGGAAAAGTGTCTATGAAGTGTATGAGAAGAAAGGAAAGGCAGAAATATCCCAGAATGCTTTGCGCAGAGAGCTCTTCTTGCAAAGCATTCTGGGATTAGCTGTCCCAGTGGCCCGCTGTCGCTACCTGACAGCAGCGACTAATAACAAAGATGGGGCAGGCACTACGCTGTGGAGGAGGAGTTACCAATGGAGCAAAAATCAGTGATCATCTGTCCAAACGGTCAGTTAACTGAGTTCACTATAGAGTCCCCGCTCTATATAGTGATTGAGGGGTCAGAGGTCAGGGCGGCCAGTCGGACACCGTGAGCTGCTATGAGAGGAACAACTTTTAAACAGAGCGTGCACGAGGAGAAATGTGCTCGTGCACGAGGAGAAATGTGCTCGTGCACGAGGAGAAATGGGCTCGTGCACGCTCTCGCACACCTTTAATAGGCGTTCCCTCTAGGGAGCGGGTGCAGGTTTGGGCATGTGCTTTTTTTTAAAGTGGAGGGGGCGGGTCTTTGAAAAAATTTGTAACAATTCTCCAAAATACCTGTTCATTGATCTGGGTCACCTGACCATGAGGCTGGTGAGCTGCAGCTGATAACGGCGTGCTTGGTTTGCATGGCAGATGGACCCACTGGGTTACAGAAGCAACGTTTTTCTTTTCCAGATCATTGTTGACGACGATGACAGCAAGGTGTGGTCCCTGTACGACGCCGGCCCAAAGAGCATCCGCTGTCCCATCATCTTCCTCCCCCCCGTCAGTGGCACTGCAGAGGTGTTCTTCCAGCAGGTTCTGGCGCTGACCGGCTGGGGTTACAGAGTCATCTCGGTGAGCGGGGGCGCTGCTGTTCATCAGTTAAACCTCATCTGCCTCACACGGGGCTGACTGGTTCTGACATGATTCAAAATAAAAAAGTGAATGTTAGTTTCAGACATGGAGGGCGGTTTGAATCAGAATCACTGATCTGATAGCAGAGCTTTTTACAAACGGTGAACCAGTACAGCTTTAGATTGACCTCTTCCTGTCTCAGTTTTCACTAATACACACATGTGACTCATACACACACAGAACAAGATTCACCAAAGTATTTCTGGTCCATAAACAATTCTAAATTAAATTACAAAGTACCAGTGCTCTTTAAACTTCACTGCATCTATGTGTGGATTTTTGAGACTGCCTTGATGCACCAATGCATTTATTTAAGCAGGGATGGTTTGCCACCAATCACAAAGCTCCGTTGTATAAGCCAATCACAAGAAACCACTCCACATGGGAAACTAACCCCCTGATTCTACATCCTCCGCCCCACTCCGCCTCGCTCCGTTCCAGACCGCCTGCCCACAGTGAAGCCCTACAGCCTCCGCTGTTCCTCCCGTCTTGCTCCGCTCCGACTTCCTTGGAGTTTGAGGAGAGCGTGAGCAATATTATTATTTAACTCGTAGGAGAAAATCGTGGTAATGAAGGCTTAATTTAATATGACATCATTAAATCATGCCATCAGCATCAATGCAAACTCTTTCTTTTCGTTGTGGGTCTTTGTAATAATCATTGGTTTGTTCTCTACTTCCAAACTCAGCATCTCTTCATCCAGAACTGAGATAAAGATTAGTTGAGATTCGCTCCTGGAAGTTGATGTGACTGGATTTGATTAAACTTTTAAGCACCTCGGTATAAAAAAATATTTTGACCGAGATGAGAAATCTGCTTCCTGGAATGTTTTAAGTATCGATAATCGACATCCAATAATTTAATTAAGTGGTTTTAGTTTTTGGGAATATATAGGAATTCTGCTCTAATCTGTTGTTCGCGATCCATCGTTACCATATTTTAGTTTGACAAACCGGATCTTCTCAACGTTCCTTTTCCTGTTTGGTGGGAATGCAAATGTGGATTTTGACCTGGCTGGACAGGAGCGGACGGGGAAGGACAGAGAAGACGTAGGTGGACGGTGACGTGCGGAGGAGTAGCGGTGGATGTGGAACAGTTCTCATGGATTAATATGATGCACAAGGTATGTGAGCGCTGCGGAGCGGAGGGGTGACGGATGCTGTGGAGGATGAGTACTTTCCTGTGATTGGCTTATTAAAGGGAGCTTTGTGATTGGTCGCACACCATCCCTTAAAAATACAGCTTAAAAATATAAATTTGTGTATCGGGGCACATTAGATCCACACACTAATGCAGTAAAGTTTATAGACTAAATGTACTTTGTAATTTTATTGATATTTGTTTATGGACCAGAAATCCTGGTGTGTGTGTGTGTGTGTGTGTGTGTGTGTATATTTCACATGTGTATTTGTGCAAACACAGACCAATCTAACTCCATATTTCTGAGCTTCCAGCCTTTCCTGTTGTATTTCTATCAAATCTTAATGTATATATTAGTTAACAGAAACATTTTTTTCTTTTGCCGGCCTTTTTTTTTCAGCTGCAGTATCCTGTGTACTGGGACCTCATGGAGTTCTGTGATGGCTTCCGGAAGCTTCTGGATCACCTCCAACTGGACAAGGTCCGACTTTCCTTTTGTAGTTCCATTTCTGCTCCTATATGTACGTAAATAAGTCCTTCATTTTTTCTTATCGTGATGTGATAGGGGCGCCCCGCCCCCTCTGCAACCACCTCATTTATTGTGATTGCAGCTGGGCAGTGTGGCCACAAGGGGGTGGTATAGAATTAGCTGTCCTATTGAGAGAGAAAAGGTCAACATGCAGTAAACTGTTATTACTCTGTGTCCTGTTGATGGAGCATTTGGCTGTTTTCATGCTCTTTTCTCCTCTTTAGTCCTTTTTCCTGATCATACTTTGGCCACTGTTCGCCACGCGGCCCCTTAGTTTACTGGCAGTACTGCATCATTCATTGTCCCTGGTTGCCAGTCTGGAACCTCCAATATGGCAGATTAATGTGGGCACAAATAAAAGGCTATAACTGGCTCTAGCCCCCACCTCTACGGTCGTTTTGGTTTAATGAGTCGTTTAAATAAACCAATCACTCATGTGAACGAACTGAAATGGACTCGCAAAAGATCAATTTTAGTGATCTACAAATGGAACTATAGAAGGTTTTTAAAGTCGCAGGGAAGCGGCTGTTCCAACCGTTGCTTTTCCGAATTCTCCCAAGTGGCGCCCGACTTTACACCAGTGAATAAAGTCAATGTGATTGGTCGATTATCAAGGGGGCGGGTCTGTTTTGGCGGAAGGTTCACAAGCATGTTTGGTTGTGGCCGTTTTGTCGGAAGCATCTTGCTAACCAGTTAGCATCTTAGTGCTAGCAGGTTCCCAATGGGAAATTCCATTGGGACCAAGTAGCACTAAATTGGTGACTTAGAAACGACGCTGTCAAGGAACGCTATGGACAGTGGAAACATGCAAGAGGAGGAGAGTTTAGTGTGGGAGGTCGTGGATGAGTCTCCTCCGTCATCCATTTTTTATTTAGAGGAGGAAAGCGGGGACGAAGATGTTGTGGAAGAGGACGCCAGGGCGGCAGAAGCTTGGTTTGGTGTAGAAGGCTTCCAGCCGTACATGTTTGAGCCCTTGCCTCGCAACGCTGCCAGTTCTGTTAGCTCTACGCCTGCCGAAGACACAGACGTCCATCCCCGTGAACACTGGGACGCAACTCAATGGGAAAGGAAAGGATTCTGGTTTCAACCGTTGCGTATATTAGCTGCGACATATGAATCAAGACGCTATGACTGAAAACATTTGATTGACAGATGACCGTTGATATATGATTGGCCGAATTTAGGTGTTCAGGCTGACGTAGAACTAACTGGCCTGCAGAAGATAACGGAAAAAACACAGATTTTAAGACAATTTTAATAAGATAGAAATTTTCTAAATTTTGGGACAATATGGTCCGATCAAGAGAACATTTATATACATGTTTAAGCCAAAATGATTTGACATTTAAATATGACTTCCCTACAACTTTAATAAACCTGCCATATTAGATTTCAGCTAAACTTGCTTATTGACTCAATCTTCTCCTTCGTTGCCTTCTGAACTAGAACTACAAAATAAGATAAGGTTAGAGCTTGAAAACGGTTCTTACTCTTTTTATCTTTATAGGACCATAACCATCTTGAATTTTTTAAAAGACCCGCCCTCTACACTTAAAAAAAAAGTGCATGTGAGAGCGTGCACGAGCCCATTTCTCCTCGTACACGCTCTGTTTAAAAGTTGTTCCTCTCATAGCAGTTCACTGTGTCCGACCCTCCGCCCTGACCTCTGACCCCTCTATCACTATATTGGTCACTCCTCCTGCACCACGCCGTGCCTGCGCCATCTTTATTAGTCGCTGCTGTCGGGTAGCTGCAGCCTAAGGTGACAGCGGGCTGCTGGGACAGCTAATCCCATAATGCTTTGCAAGGAGAGCTCTCTGCGCAAAGCATTCTGGGATATATCTGCCTTTTCCGAGGCCTTTCCTTTCTTCTCCTTTACTTCGTAGACACTTTTCCTCTTCTGACTCTCGGCCATTTTCAAAGAACCGCGGTGAGAAACGTGAGCTTCAACGACCGTCTGAAACCGTAGCTCCCCACAGATATACGCCTGAAAGAAACCGATAGCTAACAGGACGAGCGCATAGGACGACCTTACGGAAACGCATCGCCAGAATGATTGACAGTTAGGAGGACCACTGATTGAGATGATCCACCCAGAAATAAAAGATCATCCTCTATACCTTTAAAGTTCTATGTTCAGCAGACTTAATGTCACTAAAATCATTTTTATTGCTCTTTTTAAATATACTGTAGCTGCATTAAATAAATGATTTGCTGAATGTTTTGAACGAATTGTTTTAATGAACTGATACCAGGGATTCAGTTCCCATCATCGCCGTACGGCTTGCACATCAGACCTCAGGCAGACATTTTTTATTGTGTGAATGGTGATGTCTGTGTAACGCTGATCCTCTGACACACACAGGTCCACCTGTTCGGAGCGTCTTTGGGAGGATACCTGGCTCAGAAGTTTGCAGAATTCACCCACAAGTCTCCCAGAGTCCACTCTCTGATCCTGTGTAACTCGTTCAGTGACACCTCCATATTCAACCAGACATGGACAGCAAACAGGTGCTTCTCGCCGTCGCTGACCTGAAGGTTTCCT